CCCCCTATCACGGGGGGCTGTCGAAGTGGCGCGCGCAGGCGATCACCGACGCGGCCGTGGCACTGCGCATCTACTTAAGCATGCGCGCAGGGCGCGTGATGTAGGCGCGTCGGCGCGTCGCCCCGTCGAAGAGGCAGCCTTTGGCGATTTCGGTGTTGAGCTTCGCCGTTGGGCTGCCGCTGGCGCAGCATGTCCATGCGTTGCCGCCTTTGCCTTCGGCACTGGGTTGTGACACTGGGCTGCGAATGCTGGGAAGCGCGCGCGCGGCCGCGGCCGCAGCAATGCGCGCCGATGCGAGCACGCGCGCAGGGTGCATGGCGCTGGCGCGTCAGGTTGCCTCGTCGATGAGGCAGCCGTTTGCACCTTCGGCGTGGAGTTTCGCCGGTGGGCTGCCGCTGGCGCAGCAGTTCCATAGGGGTCCGGCATTTCCTTTCGGCATTGGAAAGCAGCACTGCGAAGGCGCTGACGCGGCAATCCCATGGTTTCCCGCGGGCCTCGAGCGAGTGGATGCGCCCTCGGGCTCCTCGCTGACGGCGACGCGCACGGCAGTTGCATTCGCCCGCGGCTTTGGGTTTCGCCTTTGGGGTCGCCCCCCCGCTGAAGCGATTGCAATCATCGACGCAGCCGCCTTCGGCGCGAGCTTCGGACGGCTGGAGGGGGAGCGCGAGGGGGTGGGTCTGGCACCCCCTCGCTACGATGCGCGCGCATGGCTGCGGCAGCACCTCCATGGCAGAGCCCGTGGAATGCCTTGGGGGGGCCATCTGGCAGCGCTGGGAGAGCACCTGGAGCTTCCCCCATGAGCCCTGGGACTGCCTGGAACCGCCCGGGCACGCTTGGGGGCGCGCGGGAGCGCATGGGAGCGCCGCGTGGCGCCTTGGAGCGCTTGTGGGTGCTGAAAAGCGCGTGGGAATGCTTGGGCGCCTGGGAGCACCTGGGAGCGCAGGGGAGCGCTTAGGAGCGCTTCGGAGTTGTGGCAGCGCTGGGAACGCTGGGGAGCGCCTGCGAGCGCCTGGGAGCGCGCCAGGAGCATGCCGGGAGCGCTTGGGAGCGCCTGCGAGCGCCTGGGAGCGCTCGGGGGCGTGCCGGGAGCTCTTGGGAGCGTCTGGGAGCGCAGCCAGCGCGCGCCTGGGAACGCGCCTGGGTGCGTGCCGGGAGCGCCCAGGAGCGCTTGGGAGCGCTTGGGAGCGCTCGGAGCGCCTGGGAGCGCTTGGGAGCGCGTGGGAGCGTGCCGAGAGCGCCTGGGAGCGTGCTGGGAGCGCCTGAAGCGCCGTGGAGCGCTTGGGAGCGTGCCGGGAGCGCTTGGGAAACCTTGGAAGCGCCTGGGAGCGCTTGGGAGCGCTTGGGAGCGCCTGGGAGCGCCTGGGAGCGCCTGGGAGCGCCTGGGAGCGCCTGGGAGCGCTTGGGGGCGTGCAGGAAGCGCTTGGAGAGTCCTTGGGAGCGCGCGGAGCGTTTGGAAGCGCTTGGAGCGCCGCATGCTGTAATTTCGTAGGTTTGGAGCACCCAGGGGGCACCGCATGCTGTATTTTCATAGGTTTGGAGCCCCAGGGGATGTAGGAGCGCGCAGGGAACCCGCTTGCTGGGGCTGAAGGTTAGGGGTTCCTTTTCTTGGGAGAACACCCACGGGGATGCACCGCGCGGCGTGCGAATTCCTCCTCAGCGGCTGTCGCCGCTTCGTCGGTGCGGCGCACGCTGTATGGGCAGGCTCGCTGATCGCTCGGCCAGGCGCCACGGGCTTCTGACGATGCACCGCCCGTGGCTTACAGTTTAGGGTTTAGGGTTTAGGGTTTAGGGTTTAGGGTGTAGGGTTTAGGGTTTAGGGTTTAGGGCCTGCATTGGCGCAAGCGCGCGCTGGCTGCGATCCCCCCACATCAAGGTTGTTGGGGGGGATCGCTGCCCAAGCCGCGCGCGCCGCGGTTAGTCGCACTCCCGCCCCAGACCACCCAGAGTGAAGCCTTTTAGGGTTTAGGGTTTCTCCCCCCAACCCCCCTATCACGGGGGGCTGTCGAAGTGGGGCGCGCAGGCGATCGCCGACGCGGCCGTGGCACTGCGCATCCACGTAAGCATGCGCGCAGGGCGCGCGACGTAGGCGCGTCGGTTCGTCGCCCCGTCGAAGAGGCAGCCTTTGGCGATTTTGGCGTTGAGCTTCGCCGTTGGGCTGCCGCTGGCGCAGCATGTCCATGCGTTGCCGCCTTTGCCTTCGGCACTGGGTTGTGACACTGAGCTGTGAATGCTGGGGCGCGCGCGTGCGGCCGCGGCCGTAGCAATGCGCGCCGACGCGAGCACGCGCGCAGGGTGCATGGCGCTGGCGCGCCCGAGCGAGTGGCCGCCGCTTGCACTTTCGGCGCGGAGCTTCGCCGGTGGGCTGCCGCTGGCGCAGCAGTTCCACAGGGGTCTGGTATTTGCCTCTGGCATTGGAAAGCAGCACTGCGAAGGCGCTGGCGCGGCAATCCCATGGTTTCCCGCGGGCCCGGAGCGAGTGGCTGCGCCGTCGGGCTCCTCGCTGGCGGCGACGCGCACGGCAGTTACATTCGCCCGCGGCTTTGGGTTTCGCCTTTGGGGTCGCCCCCCCGCTGAAGCGATTGCAATCATCGACGCAGCCGCCTTCGGCGCGAGCTTCGGGCGGCTGGAGGGGGAGCGCGAGGGGGTGGGTCTGGCACCCCCTCGCTACGATGCGCGCGCATGGCTGCGGAAGCACCTCCATGGCAGAGCCCGTGGAATGCCTTGGGGGGGCCCTCTGGCAGCGCTGGGAGAGCGCCTGGAGCTTCCCCCAGGAGCCCTGGGATCGCCTGGAACCGCCTGGGCACGCTTGGGAGCACGCGGGAGCGCATGGGAGCGCCGCGTGGCGCCTTGGAGCGTTTGTGGGTGCTTAAGAGCGCGTGGGAATGCTTGGGCGCCTGGGAGCACCTGGGAGCGCCGGGGAGCGCGTAAGAGTGCTTCGGAGTTGTGGAAGCGCTGGGAACGCTGGGGAGCGCCTGCGAGCGCCTGGGAGCGCGCCAGGAGCGTGCCGGGAGCGCCCGGGAGCGCCTGCGAGCGCTTGGAGGCGTGCCGGGAGCGCTAGGGAGCGCCTGGGAGCGCCTGGGAGCGCCTGGGAGCGCCTGGGAGCGCAGCCAGCGCGCGCCTGGGAACGCGCCTGGGGGCGTGCCGGGAGCGCCCAGGAGCGCTTGGGAGCGCCTGCGAGCGCCTGCGAGCGCCTGCGGGCGCCTGCGAGCGCCTGCGAGTGTGCCGAGAACGCCTGGGAGCGTGCCGAGAGCGCCTGAAGCGCCGTGGAACGCTTGGGAGCGTGCCGGGAGCGCCTGGGAAAGCTTGGAGGCGCTTGGGAGCGCTTGGGGGCGCTTGGGAGCGCCTGGGAGCGCCTGGGAGCGCCTGGGAGCCCCTGGGAACGCCTGGGGGCGCCTGAGAGCGTGCCGGGAACGCTGGGAAAGTCCTTGGGAGCGCCTGGAGCGTTTGGAAGCGTTTGGAGCGCCGCATGCCGTAATTTCATAGGTTTGGAGCACCCAGGGAGCACCGCATGCGGTATTTTCATAGGTTTGGACCCCCAGGGGATGTAGAGGCCCCTTGGGGAGCCACTGGCTAGGGCTGAGGGTTAGGGGTTCCTTCTTTAGGAGAACACCACGGGGATGCACCGCGCGGCGTGCGAATTCCTCCTCAGCGGCTATCGCCGCTTCGTCGGTGCGGCGCACGCTGTATGGGCAGGCTCGCTGAGCGCTCGGCCAGACGCCACGGGCTACGGACGTTGCACCGCCCGTGGCTTGCAGTTTAGGGTTTAGGGTTTAGGGTTTAGGGTTTAGGGCTTCTCGGGCGCGCAGCGGCCGACAGTCAAGGCAAGGCAGCCCCCCCTTCGGCAAGCTTGATTGGGGGGGCGTTTAGCCGACCCGATCAAGCTTGGCGAAGGGCGCCAGAGCTGCAACCACTTCCCACCCCCGGCCGCAGGGCCGGCGACCTCCCAAACTAAAGCCTTTTAGGGTTTAGGGCCGCTGGCCCCTAAATTCCCAATGCGCTCCAAGCGCTCCCAGGCGCTCCCAGGCGCTCCCAGGCGCTCCCAGGCGGGCGCTTCCAGGCGCTCCCAAGCGCTTCCAAGCGCTCCCAGGCGCTCCCAAGCGCTGCGCTCCCCGGCGATCCCAAGCGCTCCCAAGCGCTCCCAAGCGCTCCCAGCGCGTTCCCAGCGCTCCCGGGCACGCTCTCAGGCGCTCCCAAGCGCTCCCAGGCGCTCCCAGGCGCTCCCAGACGCTCCCAGGCGCTCCCAGGCGCTCCCACATGCGCCCAGAGGCGCTCGGAGCGCTCCACACGTGTTTTTACGTGTCGGAGAAGCATAGGAGCGAATTCCAGGTCGAAAGTCTTTGGGTTTAGGGTGTTATATTCTTCGAGGATCAAGGGAAAGTTTATCTTTGAATCGCGACTCCCAGGGGGCAGCCTACGGCTGCATGGGCGACCCAGTCTGGCAACCAGCTGACGCTTCTCAGAGATGCCCTGTCTCTCGTAGACGGCGACGGTGATGCGCGGTGGGTGGGCAGAAGCACAACGAGGTGCTTGGGAATTTAGGGTTTAGGGTTTAGGGTTTAGGGTTTAGGGTTTAGGGTTTAGGGCCTCGCTGGGCGGAAGCAGCTCGACCCCCCCTCCTTCAAGAGGTTGGGGGGGTCGGCTGCTATTCGTTCCCGTTCCCCCCCCCCACCCAAAAGTACCCCTTTAGGGTTTAGGGTTCTTCTACCCCCCTCGCTCCCCCCTTCTCATGGGGGGAAGTTCCATGCTGGCGTCCGCGTTCTATGGCCATCAACTATCGGTCCAGCTACCCCCCCTTCGCCCCCCCTTCGGAGGAAGGGGGGGGGAGGTCTTGCAGGCGGCTCTCGTGCTGGAATATCCGACACGCAGCAGCCGCAGTTCTGAGCGGGTGGCTGAGGCCGTGGAGAACAGTGTCTGGGCGCGCCACGCGGCCCGTGTCGCCGCGGACCTGTGTCGTCGGCGGCGTCTGCGGTGGCCCCCACGCGCGCGTGCTGCGGGCCCGCTCAGGAGGGATCCATCCAGGTGGCGGGCACGAAGTGCTCGGGCGTCAACGTGCCCGCGAGCGTGTAGTCGGCAGCGCGCTCCACGCGCGACAACGCCGTGTAGCCCGCCGCGGGGCAGAACTGCTTGTCGAGCACGACGGAGATGTGCTTGAACTCATCCCCTTGCACCTGATCGGGTTGGCAGACGCAGCGCGTTCCCTTCTGCCGGCGCTCGCCAGTCTGGGGCGCCCCGAACGTAGCGCGAGAGGACTCGTCTCTCGCTCGCGTCGCGCTCGGGGTGTCCGACAAGCGAGCGCGTCTGCCAGGGGGGGGGGGCGCTGCCTCTGCCATCCCCGTGCCCTTGCCTTGTGGATGGTGCTCGCGTAGCCGAGCCTGATGGGGAAGTGGCGCACGCTGCGGCCATCGACCTTCTTGTTGGTCCACTTGGTGATGGGCAGGAGCTGGTTCGTCTTGGTGCGGACGAGGAGCGTGCCGCCGTCGCCGTTCGGCGTGAACCTCTCGACGGTGCAGGCCATGCCGTTCACGTAGTCGTCCTCCTTGCGCACGTTCTGTGTGAGGTAGAGACAAGCACCTCTGTAGATCGGCACCTTGGCTGGAAGGGGCCTGCGGTCGTCGCGGAAGCCGTCCTTGGTGTAGTTCTCGGGGTTGATGTCGATGTCCCCATCGATCACCGCGATGGGCCTGCGCCCCGCGAAGAGGCCCTCCACGGCGAGGTTGTTGAGCTCCTCCGCTTTGTGGCGCGTGCACGTGACGATGACGGTCTCTGGATGCTCGTCGAGGTGGCGCTTGATGTCGTCCGCGTCGGGGTGCTCCCAGTTCCAGGCTTTGCGGCCGCGGCACATGCTCCTGAGCATTTTCTTGCTGGGTTTGTCCACGCGGAGCTTGTCGAGGACCTTGAGGAACTCGGGGTCCTTGCAGCGCCAGGCCTGGTGCAGGGTGATCACTCTGCATTTCTTCCAGGCGGCGCTCTCCCAGGGGCGACCGTTCTTGACCGCGTCAATGGCGGGCAGCTGGTACTTGTCGCCCAGGATGACAAAGGCAGGGAGCTTCTGCGCCGCGGCCCACATCTTCATGAGCTTCTCGAAGTGGGGCATATCGAGGAGCGAGATCTCGTCGACCACGACCATGTCGTAGGAGCTCATGAGGTGCAGCGTCTCGGACTCGGGCTGGCCGAACTTGAAGGCCGCGTGGCAGGTGTCCACGCAGACGTTCGGGATGCCGCGGAGGGCCTCCTTCATGCGGCTCGCGAGCTGCGCCGTGGGCAGCGCGAAGAGGACCTGGGCGCCCTTCTCGCAGGCGCGGCGGATGCACTCCTTGACGACGGTGGTCTTGCCCGTGCCTGGCTTGCCAAGGACGATGGTCGGCGTGTTGTTCTGCCAGGCATCGTCGCCCGCTCTCTCGACCGCAGAGGCGCTGTCGCTGTGGTTATAGATGACGGCGCGGTCGACGGCCTTGTTGACGGCCTTCTCCACCTTCTTCTGCTGGGCGTTGAACTGCTGCGGGGCGGCGGGGCCAGCGCCCCCGCGGCGGCCGCTCGCCGCCGCCGCAGCCGCCGCGGCTGTCTCCTCCTCGGCGCGGTTGCGTGCGCCCGACAGGTACTCGTCCACCAGTTCCATCTGTCCGTGGACCATCTCTTGGACATCCTCGATGTGGTCGTCCGTGCTGGCCTCCTGCTTCATCTCGCTCCTGATCCTGTGGGGCAGCCTCCAGAAGTCGCGGAGCTCGACGGGCACGCGGTCGTGGTCGTCGCAGCGCCGCAGCGCCGTGGCGAACCAGCGGTACTTCTTGGGCACCAGGCGGTCGACGTCCGCGTCCAGGAGCTCGTCCATGCTGTTCGAGAAAGGCACGTGCAGCGCCAGCCACTGGCCGAAGAACTTGTCGTTCAGGCGGTAGACGTGGTCGACAGCGACGATCTTCTCGCCGTTCATCGGGTAGTCGTTGGCAAAGTCTGCGAGCGAGGCCACCTCGAGGTGGTCGATCTGCATCTGCCCGCTCATCTCCGCGTTCAGCTTCTCCTCGACGTGCCACTTGGCGAACGCGCGGAAGTCGTCGGCGACTTGCTCCTCTCTCCCAGCAAAGGCCTTGAACTCCTTCTTTGTGGCGCCCACGCGGAACTTCTGGAATGGCAGCTTGCCGCCCTCCTTCACGTATGCTGCGAAGGCAACGACGAGCACCTCCTCGCGCCACGGCTTCTGAATCCAGTGGACGATCTGGCCGTCGTCTCCAGTCTTCCGCAGGAACTCCAGCAGGGGCATGTCGGCACGGCGCCAGGTGCGGCTGGCCGCGCAATACTGTTCAACGTATGCGGGCGGCGTCTCCATGCCCGGCCAGGGCGCCTGGATGTCGCGCTTGCCCCTGCTGACGGTGGAGACGTGCCACTGCTTGAAGTTTTGGCCGTTCAGCTGGAGCCACATCTCGGGCTCGTAGGGGTGGTACTCGTTGACCATGCGGCGCGCCACCGAGGTCGCGGACCCCTCGTCGTTGAACCACTCGTCGAAGGAGGAGTCCGAGAACTTGGCCGCGTACTTCGTCACGTACTGGAGCAGCAGGGACTCCCCGTCGGACGTGAGGAAGTCCTGGTGGCAGGGGCAGCCGTCCATGACGTCCACGAAGAAGGCTCTGTGGACGCCCTCGTCCCTGTCCTCCTCGGAGTGCTTGAGCTTGAGCGTGCCGTCCTCGTCGTTCCAGCCCTCGGGGCCGTCGTGGATGGGCCACTTCCAGTCCTCGTCGCGGTCCTTCTGCGAGCACTTGACTTTGCCCTTCAGCGCCAGGTTCTCCGCCACGGGTAGGCTCGCCTTGACGAACTGCTCCAGCTTCGCGGGTTCGAGTTCGTCCGCGAAGATGAGAACGTGCGCGTGCGGGCGGCCGCTCCCATGGTAGCGGAAAGTGCCCGCCTTGCGGCTCCCGTCCTGGAACTCGATGCGCGCGAAGACGACGAGCCTGATGGGCTTGCCGCTCTCTTCCTTGCTGCTCAGGATGTGCTTCTTCCACGGGCCGCCTCGGCCGGCGCAGTTGCTGCCCCCAGTGCGGCTGACGCCCGTGAGGAGGCCGTTGGTGATCTGGAGGAGCGCGTGCGTCATGTGGAGGCTCTCCGCCGCGGGGAGGTTCATCCGCTTGCGCAAGCTCTTGGACATCTCGTCCTGGACCCACTCGTGGTAGGGCGCGAGGTACTCGTAGGGCGAGATGGTCCAGAAGATCTTCGGCATGCCCACCTGGCGGACCAGGTCGATCAGGCCGTTGTGGACCTCCTTCCAGTAGAGCGGGCTGAAGGAGTTGCCCTTCATGAGCACGCGCATGGGTACCTTGCCACCGAGGCCGAGGTTCTTGCGACTGCCGAGCGTGCTCCAGAGGTTCAGGTCGTAGACGTACTGGAGCAGCTCGAAGGACGTGCCGTAGCCGATCAGCGGCGAGAGGACCTTGGCCATGAAGCTCTTCTTGATGCTGTGTCGCCCAGAGCCCTCTGCCTCGCCTGCATCATCCTCTTCCTCTTTGTCGCTGTCGTTGTCGTCTGGCTCGCTGCCGGAGTCCGAGGAGTCGCCGTCGCCGTTGTCGCTCTCCTGGTCGCTGTCCTGGCCATCGTGCGGGTCGCGGCCTGCCCCCGCGGGCTGCGCGCCGTGATCGTCGTCGCTGCCACTGTATGAGTCATCGTCGTCCTCTGCCGCAGCGCCACGGCCGCTCTTCTTGCGGGCGCGCCGCTCCTCGCGGCGCTCGTCTGTGTAGCGTTCGTACGACTCGCACATTTTTTTCTTCCAGTACAGGTGGGGCCAGATGGCGCACTCGAGACCGACCTACGGGCGGACTCTGGGGGCACCTCTCGTTGTACATGGTGGCAAGCCTATCGAGCCTCGAGCACACTGGACAGTGTGTTCGGGGCAGCGTTGCTCCCTGTTGCCCGAGCAGGGTTCCCTAGTCTGCCCTGGTGCGCCTGCTCGATGAAGTTGATCGGGCGCTTGCGCTGGCGCTCGTCGGGCTTGCGGCTCTTGCCGTCGAAGAACTTCTCGCGCTGCATCTTGAAGTCCCTGTAGCAGCTCTCCTTGCTGTCCATCAGGTAATCGTAGGCGGCCTTCGCCTTCTCGCGATCCGCGTGCGGGACGTTCCTGAACTTCTTCTTCGGGGCGTGCTCCGACCATGAGAAGCGGATCATCTTCACTTTCTTGCGGTAGCCGTTGGGTTTCCCCTTGGCGTCGTGGGAGCGGACCACCGCGCCGACGTCCACGTCCAGCAGGCTCAGCGCACTGATGATCTCGGGCGTGAGGTCCTGCAGCGGCTTCGGGACGTCCTCGGGCTTCGGGACGTAGTGCTTGCGCTTTGCGTTGCAGAGCTTGCACTGCGACTTGGTCAGCTCGGGCTTGCGCTCGCGCCTGAGGTCCGTCTCGTAAAACTCGCGCGGCTGCATCGCCTGGCACTTCGGGCACATGCCCCAGGAGCCGCGGAGGCACCAGGCCTCCAAGGCCTTGGAGTAGTCGGAGTACTTCGCAGGCGGGAGGCCAATCCCGTTGTCCAGGTGCGCGCCCAGCTCCGCTTCAGAGGCGCGCTCGCGCCTCTCCGACCCAGGGAAGACGAGGTTCTTCGCGTACCGCTGGTCCTCGAGCACCTCCTGGCGGAACTTGCGCTTCTGCTTGCGGTCGGGCGGCTCCTGGGTGGTCTGCCGCTTCGCCTTGGCATCGGCCCAGTCCGCCACTTTCTTCTCGGCGGGCTTGCGGCCGCGCTTCGGCTGCCTGACGCGGTCCTCGGGGATCTCGAATCCGGCCTTCTCCACCCTCGCCTTGAAGAGGTCGTACGGGGTCTTGTCCTCGAACTGGTGGAGCGCCCTCAGGTAGCGCATGGCGCCCGCCCTGCCCTTGACTGTCTTCACCTTCTCCGGCAGGGCATCGACGTCGCAGCAGAAACACTGTTTCTTCCCGCCGCGCCACCGAAAGACCTTGGCGCCAGGAGTGGAGGTGGAGAACACGCAGTCCTGCTGGATGACCTCGTCGGAGCCCTCCTGCGGCTGCTCCCAGCCGATGCAGAAATCAGACGAGCCGCGAGACCTTGCCGGCTTCTTCACCACTGGGCCCGCCGCCACGGCGTTGTCGATACCCGCGTCGCCCTCGATCCTCGGCTGCTTCGGCGCCCTGGCGCCAGGCTGAGACGCCGGGCGTTTCTGCGGGTGCGGGAGCGGCGGCGGGGGCGGCGCGACAGCCGCGCCGGGCTGCTTTCCGCTCAGGCGGCGCCGCGCCGCCGCCGCTGCCATCGGCACGGCGCTGGCTGGCCGCTTCCGCACGGCCAGCGCCATGTGCTCCGCCTCCACATACTCAGCATCGGCATCCGCCCTCATGATGTCGCGCGCGCCCTTGAACAGCTGGGAGATGCGCGGCGGCGGGCATCCGCGGGCCCGGAGGTCGGCACGAATGACTTCCTCAGCCTCCCCGCGGCGGAGCGCAGCGAGCACGTCAACCTGTCGGAATTTGGGCGGCATGATCTCCCAGCTCGGTAGCGGCTGCTCGGTGCGGGGCGTGCTGGGCTGGTAGCAAGGCAGCGCGAGGCGCTGGCACAGTTTTGCTTCGAGCCAGATGGCGGCGCAGGAAAGCAGGGGGCAAGAGCAGCGGCAGGGGGCATCTCGAGCATTATACTCTAGAGCCTTTCTGGGTGTGCCTGCGGCTTGGGAAAATCCTGGCTGGAGCTCACACACGGCATCCTCGGAGATGTGGCGGGTGGGGGAGCGCGAGGGGGCGGGTCTGGCGCCCCCCTCGCATCTCATTATGCTCCTGCGCTCTCCTGGGGTCTTCCTGGAGAGTTCAGAGAATTGGAAGGGGCAACATGATCGTTCGAGCAGCAGCAATTGCAGCAATGACAGCGACAGAAAGCGCTCCCACGCGCTCCAGGAGCGCCCCTAAGCGCTCCCAGGGGCTCCCAAGCGCTCCCAGGCGTTCCAGAAGCGCGCCTAGGCGCTCCCCAAGCTCCTCCCAAGCGCACCCAGGCGCTCCCAGGCGCTCCTGGGCGCTCCCAAGCGTTCCCAGGCGCTCCCAATCGATCCCCAGGCGCGCTGAAGGAGGAGCTCTGGAGAGCTCTCGGAGAGCTCCTGGAAAGCTCCTGGGGGCTGGGGTGCTCCTGGGAAGCTTCTGCAGCCTTCCCGGGTGCTCCCCAGCCTGTAAGAGCTTCCAAGACCACCCGCGTTGTCCTATTCCCTTGGGTTTCGGGCTCCAGGCGGCCCAGAGATGAGTTTGCGACCCCCGCCCCTTGCTGTTGTCGGTGTTGCCTCGGACGGGCCGGTGCTGCGCAAACGGGTTTGCGCGGGAGCTACCCGTCGCGCGGGGTCGACCCGCGAAAACTGCCACGACAGAGCTCGCGCACGCAAAACACCTTCGGCGACACACGCGCTCCGTACTTAGGCGCGCCGGCGGTCTGCTCCCAGGCGATCCCAGGCGCTCCCAAGCGTTTCCACGCGCTCGCAAACGCTCCCAGGCGCTCCCAGGCGCTCCCAGGCGCTCCAGAAGCGCTCCAGAAGCGCTCCGAGGCGCTCCCAGGCGCTCCCAGGCGATCCCAGGCGCTCCCAGGCGCTCCCAAGCGTCCCCAAGCGCTCCCATGCGCTCCAGAAGCGTTCCCAGGCGCTCCCAAGCGTTCCAGCAGCGCTCCAAGGCGCTCCCAGGCGCTCCCAGGCGCGCCCCAGGCGCGCTGAAGGCTCCTGGGGAGCTCTGGAGAGCTCCTGGGGAGCTCCTGGGGGCTGGGGTGCTCCTGGTAGGCTTCTTCTCGCAAGCACCTCCACTGAGCCTTCCCCGGTGCTCCCCAGCCTGTAAGAGCTTCCTAGACCACCCGCGTTGTCCTATTCCCTTGGGTTTCGGGCTCCAGGCGGCCCAGAGATGAGTTTGCGACCCCCGCCCCTTGCTGTTGTCGGTGTTGCCTCGGGCGGGCTGGTGCTGCGCAAACGGGTTTGCGCGGGAGCTGCCCGTCGCGCGGGGTCGACCCGCAAAAACTGCCACGACAGAGCGCGCGCACGCAAAACACCTTCGGCGACACACGCGCTCCGTACTTAGGCGCGCCGGCGGTCTGCTCCCAGGCGATCCCGGGCGCTCCCAAGCGTTTCCACGCGCTCCCAGGCGCTGCACAGCGTTCCCCGGCGCTCCCAGGCGCTCTCAGGCGTCCCCAGGCGCTCCCAGGCCCAAGCGCTGCCCAAGCGCTCCCAGGCGCACCCCAGGCGCTCGCTCCCAAGCGCTGCCCAAGCGCTCCCAGGCGCCCCCAAGCGCTCCCGGCGCTGCCTCCGTCCCGCCGTGATTTCGGTCTGCCGGGTCGCCCCCGTGATTTCGGTCTGCCAGATCGCCCTGGCGCTCCCAAGCGCTCCCAGGCGCTCCCAGGCGCTCCCAGGCGCTCCCAGGCGCTCCCAAGCGCTCCCAGGCGCTCCCAGGCGCTGCGCAGCGTTCCCCGGCGCTCCCAGGCGCTCTCAGGCGTCCCCAGGCGCTCCTAAGTGCTACCTCGCTCCCAAGCGCTGCCAAGCGCTCCCAGGCGCCCCCAGGCGCTCCCGGCGCTGCCTCCGTCCCGCCTCACTGCGCCAGCGCGGGACGTGCCGCCCGCGTGATTTCGGTCTGCCGGGTCGCCCCCGTGATTTCGGTATTCCAGATCGCCCTGGCGCTCCCAAGCGTTCCCAGGCGCTCCCAGGCGCTCCCAGGCGCTCCCAAGCGCTCCCAAGCGCTCCAGGCGCTCCCAGGCGTCCCCAGGCCCTCCCAAGCGCTCCCAGGCGCCCCCAAGCGCACCCAGGCGCTGCCCAGGCGCTGCCCAGGCGCTGCCAGGCGCTCCCAGGCGCTCCCGGCGCTGCCTCCGTCCCGCCGTGATTTCGGTTTGCCGGGTCGCCCCTGTGATTTCGGTCTGCCAGATCGCCCAGGCGCTCGCCCCCATGCCAGGCGCCCCCAGGCGCTCCCGGCGCTGCCTCCGTCCCGCCTCATTGCGCCAGCGCGGGACGTGCCGCCCGCGTGATTTCGGTCTGCCGGGTCGCCTCCGTGATTTCGGTCTGCCAGATCGCCCAGGCGCTCCCAAGCGCTCCCAGGCGCTCCCAGGCGCTGCCAGGCGCTCCCAGGCGCTCCCAAGCGCTCCCGGCGCTGCCTCCGTCCCGCGTCACTGCACCAGCGCGGGACGTGCCGCCCGCGTGATTTCGGTCTGCCGGGTCGCCCGCGTGATTTCGGTCTGCCAGATCGCCCAAGCGCTCCCAAGCGCTCCCAGGCGCTCCCAGGCGCTGCACTACGTTCCCCGGCGCTCCCAGGCGCTCCCAGGCGCTGCCCAGGCGCTCCCAGGCGCCCCCAAGCGCTCCCGGCGCTGCCTTCGCTCCTCACTGCGCCAGCGCGGGACGTGCCGCCCGCGTGATTTCGGTCTGCCGGGTCGCCCCCGTGTTTTCGGTCTGCCAGATCCCCCAGGCGCTCCCAAGCGCTCCCAGGCGCTCCCAGGCGCTCCCAGGCGCTCCCAGGCGCTCCCAGGCGCTGCCCAGACGAGCCAAGCGCCCCCAGGCGCTCCTAGGCGCCCCCAAGCGCTGCCAGGCGCTCCCAAGCGCCCCCAGGCGCTCCCGGCGCTGCCTCCGTTCCGTCTCGCTGCGCCAGCGCGGGACGTGCCGCCCGCGTGATTCCGGTTTGCCGGGTCGCCCCCGTGATTTCGGTCTGCCAGATCGCCCAGGCGCTCCAGCGCGCTCCCAGGCGCTCCCAGGCGCTGCCAGGCGCTCCCAGGGTTCCCAGGCGCCCCCAAGCGCCGCCAGGCGCTCCCAGGCGCCCCCAGGCGCTCTGAGGCGCTTCCTGGCACTTTCCCACGCGGTCGCAGGCGCTCCCAGGTGAAGTTGATCCTCCCAGGGGCCAAGAGCGACCGGGGCCAGCAAATGCCGCTCAGGTTAAGGGTTCTTCTGTTTGGCGGAGCGCAGCACTGGCGTCGGCCTGAGAACGTTCTGGGAGCTCGACTGTCGCTCGCTCCTCGCCACCGATAGCGTTCGAGGTCGAGAGCGCGACCCAACGGGGTCGCGCTTCAGTTTAGGGTTTAGGGTTTAGGGTTTAGGGTTTAGGGTTTAGGGTTTAGGGTTTAGGGTTTAGGGTTTAGGGTGTCCTCTGTCAGCGCTTGCTGATCATCAATCGTGTAAGATCACCCCCACCCATAAAATGGAGTGGGGGTGGGGTAATCGTGTGGAGGTGATATCATGTTGAGCAGAATCCTGTTTCGGCTACGGGGCCAGCTCTCCTTTTCACATTCCCACCCCGCGCCCGTTAGGGCGGCGAACCACCCACGGCTTTCTCTATTAGGGTTTAGGGTTCATTCGGTAATCGGGGCCCTCTTTCTCTTAGGGCTCCACGATTCCAATCGGTTTGGCGATCTTGTTCATGGGTTCGACATACAGTGCTTTGTGTATCACACGTACACAGATACCCTCCTAGGTTTTAAGATATGCGCAATCCTGGGTTTAGGGTTCACGCTTTACGTCGGGGGAAAGGGTTTGGGGTGAAACGCCGCGCGGGCGTTTGATTGTGCGCTTGCGGCGCAGGCTCCGCTCGCTTCGCTCGCTCCGCCGATACCGCTCCTCTGGAACTACGAAATCCAGCTGGCGCGCCCAGGGGCGCCCTGGGCCCTGGGCGGTAGCTGATTCACCGTGAAGGGCGCCTGGGGTGCCTTGGAGAACTTGGGGAGGGCCCTGGAAGGCCCTCAGGGGGGCTTCTGACAGGCTCCTGGGGGGCTCCTGGGGAACTCCTGGATGGTTCCTGGGCGATCGGCAATTCACAATGAGGTTGGTCTGGGGTGCCCTGGGAGCCCCCCAGGGAGGCCCGAGTCGCCAGGAGACGTCTTTGGGCCACCAGGGGGGCGCAGGGCTCTTGGGCGGGAGCTAATTCACCGTGGCGAGCCCACCAAACGCTTCCCGCGGGGTCCCGAATCGCCAGGAAACGTCTTGGGAGCCCTCCTGGGATGCCCGAGTCGCCAGGAAACGATGTTTCGCCCCCAGGAGCGCCCTGGGCCCCTGGGCGATCGGCAATTCACCGTGAGGTTGGTCCGGGAGGCCCTGGGAGGGAGGCCCGAGTCGCCAGGAGACGTCTTTTCGGGCCCGAGGAGGGCCCTAAGCCCTTGGGCGATCGGCAATTCACCGTGAGGTTGGTCTGGGGGGCGCTGGGAGCCCCCCAGGGCCTTGGGAGCCCCCCAGGGAGGCCCGTGTCGCCAGGAAACGTTTTTTCGTCCCTAGGAGGGCCCTGGCTCCTGGGCGGTCGGCAATTCACCGTGAGGTTGGTCTGGGGTGCCCTGGGAGACCCCCCCAGGGAGGCCCGAGTCGCCAGCAGACGTCCTTTCGCCTCTAGGGAGGCCCTAGGCCCTTGGGCGATCGGCAATTCACCGTGAGGTTGGTCTGGGGGGTGCTGGGAGCCTCCCAGGGAGGCCCGAGTCGCCAGGATACGTCTTTTTGCCCCTAGGAGGGCCCTGGGTTCCTGGGCGATCGGCGATTCACCGTGAGGTTGGTCTGGGGGAGCCCTGGGAGCCCCCCAGGGAGGCCCGAGTCGCCAGGATACGTTTTTTTTCGCCCCTAGGGAGGCCCTGGGCCCTTGGGCGATCTGCAATTCACCGTGAGGTTGGTCTGGGGGGCCCTGGGATCCCCCCGGAGGGCCCGAGTCGCCAGGAGACGTATTTTCGCCTCAGGGGGGTCCTGGGCCCTTGGGCGATCGGCAATTCACCGTGAGGTTGGTCTGGGGGGCCCTG